CAGCGTCGTGTTGCGTTGCAGCGAGCGTCGCCTCGTTCCCCGCCTTCACCACCACCGCCGTCGTGTCGCGTTGCTTCGTATCGTAACGTATCGTAGCGGGGTCGAATCGGATCACCACAAGCGCAATCGTACCCCCCTTTTCCTCGATTCCAGCATGCCTCACTTCGCTCCAGTATCACATCGAACGCAGCGCACCGCATCGTCCCGCTTTCGTCGCGACAAGGACCGACCCACCGACATCTCAGCTCGCGAAGCTCGACGGCTAGCCTAGCCTAGCCGACCGGTCGAGAGGCTTGCACTTGGTCCGTTCCACCTCCCGCACGCACGCACACCTGCACGCACGCACGCACGCACGCACGTACAAGCGTCTCGTGGCGATGTCCGACCCGACCTGACCTCGCCATGCATCGGCCGAACCGGCCATCTCTCGTCTTCTCGCTCCGTTTTCGACGACGTCAACGGCTGCGCGAGGCGGACCGGTTCTCGCTGACACAGACACAGACACTCTCGCTAGCGCTCGTACTTGTTCCTGTTCATTCCTCCCGACTAACCACGCCACTCGAACCGGATCTCGCCCGTCGCCAAGAGCGGGTCATCGTCGTCATCGTCGTCGTCGTCCTGGGCCGGATCGTCAAACTCCTCGTCCTCGTCCTCGTCTTCATCACCCTCGCCCTCGCCCTCGTCTCCGTCCCGCACGCCGCGGCCCGTGTCGCCTTGGCCACCTCGGCCCTCGACCTGCGCCGGCCGGCCAAACTCAAGCTCCTCGCCCTCGTCCTCGCTCCCGCCCTCGCCCAGCCCGCGCCCTTCAAACGACGACACGTCGTCGTCGTCGCCCTCGGAGTCGTAGAAGCGCTCCTGCCCCTCGTCCTCGCTCTCGGGCTCGGCGACAATCGACGCTCCCACCAGCGGCGACGTGGCCCGCCCCGGCTCGGGCGACGCACCGCGACGCCGCCAGGGCGCCGTCCACGACGTCACGCCACCCCCGTACGACGACGATGACGGCGGCGACGACGCCGACGACTCGAGCTCGGGCGACGCCGACCGCGCGCGCTGCTCTCGACGCTGCGCCTCTTCCAGGTCGGCCTGCTCGGCAGTGACGCCAGGCCCCACCGACGAGTGCCGCACCGCACCGTGCGAGCCTGCGCCGCCGCCACTGCTGCCGTCGGCGGGGATCGTCGAGGCTGACCCTTTGCGGCTCAGTCCGAGGCTGCCCAGGCCGAAGCGAGACAGGCGACCCGGCTTGTCGGCCGTCTGGCTGGGCGAAGGCGGCCGACGATGCCGCATCCTTGAGGCCGCCCGAGCCCCCGTCGGACGTGGCGCTGCGGACGCTGCGGAGGCTGCGCACGCTCTTGCCCGACCGCGCCGACAGCGCCGGCGACACGGGCTCGAGCGCGGGCGCCAGCAGCTCCTCGTCGGGCGGCAGCTCGACGTCGACAATGTCGGGCCGCCAGTAGTTGAAGTCGTTGAACTCGGGCCGCCGCGGCTCCTTTTCCTCCTTGGCCGTGATGGGCGGAAACATCTGGTCGACGAGGTCCGTCATGTGGATGTACGACGACTTGTAGCCGGCCAGCTCGAGCAGCTCCATCTTGACCTCGCCGTTGGAGTCGATGGTAAAGATGCGCGAGCTGGGGATGTTGACGCTGCGGTAGCTCAGCGCGTCGGTGATGCGGTTGCCAAAGCCGGCGTAGAAGGGCGTGGCGTGCTCGGCCTTGGCGCGCTGCTGCTCCTCCTTTGTCTGGCCGGAC